GCCCTGCTTTCCATGCTCCTGTCTGAGGACCTCTGGCATCACAGGAGTGTAGGAATTCAGAGGAGGAATATGGTACATCTTGCCTATGGATGAAGTTGATGGAAAGAAATCCAATTCAGTACTCCTGGTGTAATACAAAATGTGTATGAGCTTTTCAGACAGACAGCAAACTTCATGGCAACCTCACTCTTATATGAGTCGAATTCAGACCCACTATTTCTTTTTGTTTTTCTTTTTTTTTTTAATTGTGAAAATACTGTAGAGAGGGGTTACAATTACATGGGCAAGATAATGAGTACATTTCTTATCAAGCATTGTAGCCTCCTTTGTTTCTCCTTCCCATCCCTTCCCATCCCCCCTACCCAATCTTCCCCCCACCACCACCAAAGTTGTAAAATTCCTTTTTCAACATAATCACTTGTACATCTCGTTGTTGCAATGGGTCCACCTGTATCCCTATTTAAACTATTTGTTTTTTCTCTTCCCCTTCACAAATTATACCAACATCAAATATAGCAGGGGTTATACCGTGGGGGAGGGACATACAAAGCAACAAAGAAATCATCTTATAAATATGTTAGAAACAATTGCACGAAAGAAAAAAAAACATTTGAATACTTATCTTGGGGTTCATTTCCCTAACATCAACTTATCTGAACTTTTCTGCTTGACTCAGACATATACTAGTTATTGCAAATAAGGGAAACCATGGGACCTATGTTTCTTTGGGCCTGGCTTACTTCACTTAATATAATTTTTCCAAGTCTTTCCATTTCCTAACAAATGGGGTAATGTCATTCTTTCTGATGGAGGCACAGAATTCCACTGTGTATATATATCACATTTCCTTGATCCATTCATCTACTGAGGGGCCTCTGGGTTGGTTCCATATTTTAGCTATGGTAAATAATGCTGCAATAAACATAGTCATGCTGGTAGCTTTAGTGTGATGACCCGCTATTTCTTACTACTAAAAATCATTTCTGCAAATGTGTGAGACATGATCTTGGGAACGTGAGGCCAAGAGGTGGTTTTGTTTGCTTTTGTTGTTTTAAGCAGGAAGATGACCTGATCAAAGCCTCTAAAGACAATGATAGGTGACAAAGAGAAAATGTGCTGGTCAGAGCAAGAGATTAAAATAAAACAAACAAAACAAACAAAAACACACACACAAAATCAACAACCCTGAAATGGGGCCAGGCTCTGAAAACAAGAGAGGCCAGGAAGGTCACTAACAGCTTGAGAGGCTTAGTGAATGCACAGCAATGAGAACACTTTGGAGAAAATATTAAAATAAAGGGCTTCACTCTTTCAAAGTGCACATTTCTATAAGGTACTTGATACAGGTACCTCTACAGTGCTCACTAAAAAAATAATATTTTCAGTGTGCATTTTAGTCACAGAAACTACCAGGTTGTGGGATACTATTGTAAAATGCTATACCAGAAATAAAACAAACTTTGATTTATGAAAACTACTTTTAAAAAGGAAATACCAAACCAGATGCCAGTGGTTCATTCCTGTAATCCTACCTACTCAGGAGGCTAAGATCTGCTGATCCTGGTTTGAAGCTAGCCCAGGCAGGAAAAGTCTGTGAGATTCTTATCTCTAATTAACCAGCAAAAAGCCAGAAGTAGAGGTGTGGCTCATGCGATAGAGCACCAGTGTTGAGCAGTACAAGTTCAGGTATGGTGCCCAGGCCCTGAACTCAAGCCCTAGTATGGGCACAAAAATAAAATAAAAATGGAAAACCATGTTTTCAAAATATTAAGAATAAATTATTATGCTCTTACTAATCAGTTACCAATCAGAAGTTGTTCTGGGGCCCTAACTACACAGGTGGAGAACTGTAGTTATGAATGGTGTTGACTCTTAGTGTGTTATTCAAAAATAAAAAATGATATATAAGGGCTTGCATGGGACTGGGAAAGATTGGAAAGATGATAGAAGGGATGATCATATTAATCATACTACTCATATTCTTGTTGATTAAAACCCCTTTGTACAACTACATAAAATAAAAATAAACAAACGTAAACAATACAAACCAAGTGCCAGGGCTCACACCTATAATCCTAGCTACTGAGGAGGCTGAGATCTGAGGATGGCAGCTCAAAGCCAGCCCAGGCAGGAAAGGCCCTGAGGCTCTTATCTCCAATAAATTACTCAGAGAAAGCTGGAAGTGGCTCTGTGGCTCAAGTGGTAGAGTGCTAGCCTCGAGCACAAGGAGGCTCAGGGACAGCACCCAGGCCCTGAGTTCAAGCCCCAAGATGGGCAAAAATAAAAGAAAGCAACAGTCTCTCTTTTGGATACGAGAGTATCGCAAGCATCTGATTATTTAATAATTGAGCAAAATTAATCATTTTATAGAGCTAACAAAATACAGTGAAACCTCCATTAGCAAATTGACAGCAAAATACTAAAACTAAAATGGAAACCCCACAGACATTAGAATTGTTAAAGATAGTAAGAGATAGGACCCAGAAGAGATCATCCAGGACATACTCAAGAAAATATTACTTGGAAAAAAGAAGATAAAGTCATGTGTGGTGGCCCACACCTGTAATCCCAGCCACTGGATGGCAGAGATTAGGAGGATGGCGGTGTGAGGTCAGCTTGGGCAAAAAGAGACCTTATCCTAACTACAAACCCAGGCATGGTGATATGAACTTGTAAACACTATGCAGGAAGCACAGGTAGGAGGATGACAGTCAGAGGCTAGCCCTAGCAATAAATAATCTGAGACATTACAAGAAAAATGAAAGAGAAAAAGAGGCTGAAGGCATAGTTAAAGTGATAGGACATCTGAGTTCAAAAACCGATTAGCACGGTGGATGGGGGGAAGGGCAGGAAGGAAGCAAGGAAGCAAGGAAGGAAATTTTCATTTTACTGAACCAATAAAAACACAATTCCCAACTAAAATAATCTAAAGAAAAGACTGTCTTTTCATGGCTTTTAGACGTTAAAATACTTTGGCTTGTTTTAGTTACTTATGTAACAAAGACCAACAAACTAGTAAAAGTAATGTAAGTCTGAAGAGGTTGGGGGGGGGGGGATGTTGAAGGTTTATTCAAGTAAACCTTTTATGGAAACTAACATTGATCTGTTTGATTTTAAAACTACATATCAGAAGTACTAAGAGCTTTTCACCATGGGAATTCTTATAGAAAAGTTAAATACTAGCACAAGCCTGGAAACAGGTGTAGTTCTTAGCAACTTTTTTTTTTCTTTGCCTCTCAGAAAACATGGTGCAAGTGTTTAAATGCATAACAATCATGTACACTTGAGTTGGCAGTAATAGCTCATCTAGATGCAGAACTTGCAACAATTTTATTTGCTAGTTTATGCTTGCCACCTTAGAGAAAATGCTAAGATTTAGGCTAAAGGTAACTTTATAGCAGAGGAAGACTCAAAACCCCATGCCACACCTATAGTTTTCAGAAAGGCTGTCTCCATCACCAATCCTAGGTGTAATTAACTTGTTCTTTGGATATGACACTGATATGCTTTCTACCTCGTTTGATAAAATACCAACAGAAAATAAGAATAGAACTGACTCCAATGTTGTCTCCAAATCGATTTGAGAACTAATGCATGGAAATGTTTTAACAAGAATAGTTGGCATTCTACAACAGAAGTCCAGACACCTCTCCATTTTCCTTCCCTAGATTATCCACACACTGGGCTTTGTTGCTTTAGTTGGTGTCTTAGAAATGCCATCTGCTTCTCTACATCTCACGGCCCCCCCCCCCCCCCCAGCACCCAGGCTATTTGCATGGGCAGGGGAAAGTTGCTTCAAACAGAAACAAACCAACAAACCATCCAGGTATCCTCACAGGTAGCAACACAAAACATCTGACCGATGGGAAGGGGACTTGGTGGCAGTTTAGAGACAGATGAGGACATTAACTGAATGTTTTTGTTTGCATCCCCCCCCAAAAAAAATGGCCCCATGCACATATGAGTTATGAAGTTGGATGTTCCTCTTTATGGCCAGCTTTGTAAGTTCTAACAACACGATAATGGGACATAGGTCTCACGGTTTATGGGTCACAAAGAAGACTCACCCTGCAAGTGTCAACAGCCAGCCCTGCTTACAATTCCATGCATTCAGTCCTGCATGAATACACACAAATCCCTAACCACGAGGACACCCACATACATACATTCATACATACATACACACACATATACATAGTTAATATGTGAACATCTGGACATTTAAAAAGACCTCATGCATTTGCTACAACAAAGTGCCTATGTATCGTGACGCGTACCACGCTGAGAGGTTAACTAGCAGTGGTTTTCCTACGTCTCTGAAATGAGTTATTCCTCTTTTTCCCTTAACCTTTGTTTCCGAGCTCTACTTTCTGGCATGTAACTTTTGCAATCAGAAAACTACCAAATACACACACACACACACACAGATCGCCTAAGAGTGTCTGATTCTAAAGCAACAGTTGGGTGCCCGGAGGTGAACTGAGGCACGAACCCTCGGGGGTCCGGGGCTGGGCAGGGGTCGGCCGCGGGGCGGCCCCACCGAGCGCGAAGAGCCTCGGTCCTGGGGCCTTCGCCAACCCGGGAGACAAACTTGCTTCAAACTTGGCGGAGCCCTTCTGCAGCCAGCGGCCCGCGACCCCACCCTCCGCGGGGCGCCTCCGGGTCCCCGGGACCCCCCCACACCCGCCGTCCCTTGGGGGGAGGGTGGATGGGGGAGCCTCAGTGCCCCAAATCGGAGCGGCACACCCCACATCCACGGTCCCTTCCCCTCCTCCGGCGCGCGGTGGGCTGGACGGGCCGGGGGGCGCGGGCCACCCTTCCACGCAGCCTCCCCGCCTTCCCGGCCCCGTGACCTTGGGCCACGCGAGCCTCAGTTTCCCTCCCCGTCCGATGAGGTGGGGGGAGGGCTGCGCGGCCCGGATCGCCCCTCCCCCCTGCGGCCGGCCCCCCCAGAACGTGCGCCCCTCGCCCCCCCGGCCCCCCCCTCGGCCCCCCGGTACCTGGCAGCCGCTGTCTGGGGGCAGGTTTTTCACCAGGATTTTCCTGCGGTTGCTCAGTTCCCGCCGCATCCGCTGCAGCCGCGCGGCCACCTCGTCGGGGTGCAGCGCGGGGGGCGTCTCGGAGGAAGAGCCCGACCCCAGCCCCGCCACGCCGCCCGGGCCCGCGCCCCCCCGACCACCGCCGCCGCCGCCGCCGTCTCCCGCCGCCGCCGCCATCTTCCCCGGCCCCGCGGACTCCTCGAGGCTCGAGGGGGAGCGGAGAGAAAGCGCGAGGAGGCCCGGGCGGGGGCGAGGCGGGCCGCGGCCGCACGGAGGGCCCCGCCGCCGAGGGGGAGGGCGCGAGGGCGGAGGCGGCGCCGCGCGCGCGGCGCCGGGCGGGGGCGAGGAAACCTGAGGAGCCGCCCCGCGGGCCCGCGCGCGCCCCCCGCCGCGCGGCCCCAGCGCCCCCTCCCCGCCCGCCCCGAGCCCCCTCCGGCCGCCCGGGACGCCGCCACCCGCCACCTGCGCGCCGCGCGCCGCCGGCTGGGCCGGCGAGGGGCGCAGGTGAGTGGGCTCCCGCGGGCGGCGGCCTCCCTCCGTGCCAGGCTCCGGGGAACGCCCAGGGTCGGGCTTCCTGGATGTGGCCCCTACGCCGCTTGGCTCCGGGACTCGAACTCCGGATCTTTGTTCCTGCAGCTCGTCCCCCTTCCCACCCCCGATCTGCCCCCCCCCCCCCGCGCTCTCCCTCCCGGTATTCCCACACCGGGTGAGTGCCGGGGTGGCAGGTGCGGATGCACACGTTCCAAACCCTGGGAAGAACCGGGGGGGGGGGGGGGGCGGGGGCGCTTCCCTGCAGCCTGGGGACTGTTAAAACTGGGCGTGTGGGAACGCCTGTGCATCCCACTGGCCCTGGTCCAACAGTTGAGTTGCTAAGACAGGAAAACTTGGGAAGCAATGCCGAAACCAGCACCCCCAGGTTGGAGGGGATCTGGGGCCGACGGTGGAACAATGAACAAACCTGCTTGGGACAAAATTGTTTCTGTTAGAACTTGGGAGAATTATATTGTAAAACCTAGGCAAAGAAGGTCAAAATCAAAGAGCCTTTGGCACCTGCTCAAATCAACCCAGAGGGACCTGGGGGCCGGGTGTGGTGGGCACACCTGTAATCCCTGCATTTGCATAATCTCAATGCTATGATAGTTCGTCCCGTAGAACTCCTAGACTTCGAAAAGAAAAGATTATTTTTCGAAGTGAGCAAGAAGCAAGAATAGCCTTCAAGTACGCTGTAACTTGAGTCATTCATTCAGTCTCAGAACATGTATTTACCCAAATGAGTACTCTTCTGGAGAAACACTTATTAAATGTCAATTATGTCCTAGACAATATATAGATAGGGCCTAAAAATACATAAATAGTAAGTTTCCTCGTGATAGGGGCTCAGCCTCATTAGGAAAATTATGTAATAACTATAATTAGATGTGATAATTACTATGCAAACAGAATTTCAGGATCAGCCTCAGACAACAGTGATCTGAATCTAACTTTAGTGATGTTGCTTTTGCTTAAAGCCTTTCCTCAGCTGCTTAAAAAAATTGACAATGTTATATGAAACCATGTCTAGTGAATGAATCAGGTGTCCATTTTTAAAAAAAACTGCTGTGAGGGCACAATTGGTTTTATGTGCCAGTAATGAATTATCACCTGCATATTAATAAACACTGCTCTGGTGTTCAAATCAACCATCCTTCCTTGTTATTCTTGTTCAGTGGTCTTTTGAGGAATTTGGAGAAATAATAGACTACTGATCCTGAAATTCTAAAGCTGAATTGATTGTTCTTGCCACATTAAAAAAAAAAGTGGGGTGGTGTGGGAAGAGGGGTAGGAATTACAAAGACTTGGGAAGGCTACTGTAATTCCAGAGTTCCTTTCATTTCATGTTTCAGGCTGAATCTCTAACTAGCAGCCTCTCCAGCAAACTGAGGAATACTCTAATCTGAATCTGAGGGGAAGTCCCATTATCAGGTTGCTACACACTTACCAAATACCCACAGGTAATTATCATGATCTATATAATTACATTGTTCTTAAAATATGAACCATGTGCTCACTTAAGCCTTTATTAAAAAAAAAAAACTATGGGTGTTTGGTTTTGTGTATTTTTAAAGCTTTCCAAATTTGGGGCGGGGTGTTGAAGAAGTCTAATAATAATAACATCTTGTATCCAAACAATCTTAGGATTGTATATCATGATAATGTGATTAAAAATAAGTATGTGGCAATAATTTATAGACAGTAAGAACCATATAGTTTTAGTAATTCATTCCACATATATATTCAACTTCAATCTATATGGTGCATCTACAGTGTAGCAGACACAGTACATTAATTCTTATTCAGAATTATTTTCCTTTGGGGAAAATAATTGCAATTCCATAATTGCAAGTTTAGTATGATAAATACTATTAGTAATGTGCTCAGCAGCACAGCAGGAGGCTAGATTTTGATGGTAGGGACACTATCCTGGGAAGTTGGATCTTGAAACACAAATAAGAGTTTTCTAGATGAAATGGGGCAAGTACTGAAATGGGAAACACAAAGAGACCCAAAGGCATCAAAAGGAATGAGTTTGATGTTTTTGAAAACCCTGCTTCTATTGGGAACAGGGCAGAAAAGAGAAGAAGACAGCAGCAGATGTCATTCTTCTTTTAAGTAGTTGATTCCATTATAACCGAATACCCTTGTGTGGCTTCAAAGGCAATCCTGATGAGGAAAGTGACATCAGAGGCTTTCCAGCAGGAACGTGGCACGATCCGTTTTAGAATGGAGAAAATTAATTTACCAGGTGTTGTGTCAGTGACCAGTCAGAAATCTAGTGAAACAAACTGAAAACATTTGCACTTTCATACTAGAGTAGAATATTAACAATGAGAACAATAAAGTATGTAAAGCTTTACATAGCTTTTATTCTGTGTGTGTGTGTGTGTATACAATTTTATTTGGACCCCTGTAGTTGAACTATAATGTAGCTAGAAAGTACCTTTTTGCCAATGTGGGACCACAAGTAGAGAAGGTCATCTACCTCGTCCAAAGGCACACAGCAGGCCCCAGGGTTCCAAAGTAAATCCATCCACGTTTGGAGCTCAGGTATATAATCTTATGTAACTATATAGCCAGAGAAAGAGCTGGATTTGTGAGGCTATTCTGAGAAAAACGCAGTCGAGCTGAGAAACAGCAAAATATAGCAGCAAGAGAACAGGATCCAGAGTCGAATTACCTGGATTCAATTTTGTGTAACTGGAGCAACTATTTAAAGCATGCGAGAATACTTAAATATGCGGAGCCTCAGACACTCCATCTCTAAAACAGGAATAATAGCAGCACCCATAAGGTTATAAAAAATTAAAGGATATGAGGAGGATTAGGCAAGGTAATACATATGGAAGGACTTAGCCCAGTGCTCAGCTGAAGGGCTAGATAAAAGACAGTCATAATGACGATGATGATAATGAATGCTTATGAATTATCTTCAGAGCTCTTGCGGGCATATTGAATGTCAGCAAAGAGAATGGTATGGTTTGCAATGTGAAGGGAAGTGGGTGGTGATGCCACAATTAGAAGAGGCAACAATATAAGAGTTACAGCTACCAGGCTCAATTTAGGCATCTGAGCTTCAAAGATTGAAGGACACATAGCTAAGAGTATGCAGAAGACACTTGAGAAATTGTAGGAAAACTTGGTAGTAAAAACGAACTTTTAACTCTGGCTGAGTGTGCAGAATGAAAGAGAAGTCCATGAAGAGGACCCTAGGGAACCATTTCCGCTTCCCATGCTAGCTGCTGGTGTATCATCTCCTTGCTTCTGTGTCTTCATTGACTTTGCTTGTATTTTTTTTTACTTTCTTTTTGGATCACAAATGGAACCAATTTACCCTTGACTGCTTTCTGCTGTTGACCTTGCATTCCATATCATACCAGCAAAAAAAAAAAAAAATTTTTTTTTTTAATCAGAAAAAAAAGAAAAAAAGTTTGGAAATCATCAGGGGGAAAAATGGCTTCAAAAAATCATGTAAATAAGTGGTGCTGTGGCTCAAAGTAGAGCATTAGCCTTGAGCATAAAGACTCAGGGTCAGTGCCCAGACCCTGAGTTCAAGTCCCACGACGAACACAAAAACAAAATAACAACAAAAAGTCAAGAAAGCAAAATGTCTCAGTGTGCTCTTTGGTGAGCATTCTGACCCCTCTCTGTTGCAATGACACGTTGGCTATTCCCTTCTTGAGACATACCTGTCAAGATTCTCTTTCTTTCTTTTACATTTGTGAGATGAGGGTATTACTAGATAGCCAGTGCTTGCCTAGAACTCCCTCCCATAGCCTGGAACCTTCTGCATCAGGCTCCTTAGCACTGGTATTACAGGCATAGGCTACCATGCCAGCCTCCACCAATTCTCTTCAATAGACATCTCTTACCCCCAGAGGCTCATTCATGTCAACTGTGACATGAAACCAGTCCACTAAACAAACCCATATTTAAGGAAATAATGGTGACATTTGCACATGCCCTTGCTTATTTTTCTTTATATTTTAAATTGACACATAAAATGTACAGTTAGGGGTTACACAGTATTTTGATTCATATACACATTGTATAATAATCAAATGATATTTATCAGGCCTTTGTAGTGAGAACATTCAAACAACTTTCTTTTAGCTTTTTTTTTTTAAATATACAGTATACATTCTTGTTAACTCTAGTTAGCCTCCTGTGCAATAGGAACACCAGAACTTATTCTTCCCTTCTAATTGCATGCCTTTGTGTATTACCCAAAATGCTTCTTGGCAGGCTTTCATTCCATTTTCCACTTGGCCTCCTAGCCTTGGCTTCTTTTCTTTCTGCCTCTGCATTTATACTCGATTGTGGAGGTGTTGTACTCAGATCTCACTCCAAGACAGCGTGCTGTATGAAGTGTTGTTGACTACCAGCCTCTAGCTAGTGGCTGTATCTCCAAATGTGCAGCATACATTCCAAGGTCATCCTCCTCCTCTCCCTACCCCCACAGCACTGCCAAGCACTGCCTGTATACATAGGGTACCACAGCTGGTTCATTTCTGCCTGACACAGATTCCTGTAAAGAGCAGTCTTTGCCAGTCATGCAGCCAGGACTTTTCTTCAAGCAGCTCTGCAGCCTGGGCTTTTCCTACCTCATCTGTCCTTCCTTCTTTTCTTTCACAAGTGTCACC